ACCAAATAGCGATGGCCTTCAACCTACTAGCGATGGCCTCCGACCTACTAGCAATGGCCTCCCACCTAATAGTGGTGGCCTCCAATCTAATAGCGATGGCCTTCAATCTATTTAGCTCTTTTCATACCCGTGAGGATCCTCAATCTGCTATTTGGGCTGCGCACGCTTCGTCGTGCTGCACCAGCTGGCCTCATGGGCATAAGGCATCGGGATGTTGAAGTGCCTCGAAGATCAGTTAGAAGATCCATGAAGATCCTAAAGCCCTATCATCGCTAGAGTCGCTAGAGTCCTTTCAGAGGAAGAAACCGAAAAGGGTGAAACATGGTGAAACCTCTTGAAATTAACGGCCAGCTCAATACGATCAAACGTGATTGTCCGCGGGTTGACCGTTTCTTGCCATTCTTGCTGCAATTCGCAGTTGCACTCTTGGGTTGTAATGTTAATGGTCTAGAAGTCTTGTCCTTGTTTTCTGGGTGTTTCATTGGGCGGCTTGCCTGGAGCTCGTTGGGGAGTGAAAGAATGGTGGTTATATATATATATATACCAGTGGCATCCAATTGTAGAAATACAGCATGTCTCCAATCTTGCCTTCATTGCTGAAAGTGCCACATCTGCCAGACTTACTGCAACCTGAAAATTCTATATAGATAGAATGAGATAACATTAGCCGCGAGTTAAGTAAAATTCCTTTCATATAGCTAGCAGCTGCCAGCTTGCCAAAGAGCTCAGGCTTCTACAAAGGCGTCTTTGCGCGATCGAAGCCCACATGTGAATGGTATACATAACCTGCAGGCGGCCACAGGAATGCACTTTCTTATTCTTTGAAGCTCTGTTCTTGCCTGCCATGGGCCCATAGTCGGCCACATTGTCATTATCAATGAGTTTCAAGATGTTTCAAGACCTTTTAAGGATGGAATCACAACACAAACGCATCATTATCGTGAACCACAAGGGGGCACCCCTCCTAATTCCGAATTCCTCTGAAAGTGACGCCCTGTAGTTGGGGTGTCTAAAGCTGTGGCTCTGTCACACCATTCACCATCCACGCTGCAACGCCTACTGGCACTCCGTGCGGGGACACAGTCCGCGCACGCCCAGCAGGGGCCTTAGTTCGGGTGCAAATACTGATGGCACGGAATTGGCGCGGATTTGCGCGGATGCCCGAAACAGTCTCACTGCATGGCACTGCTACCCTCTGACACCTCAAACAAACAACCTCTCGAAAGAGTTGGTTGAAAAGCATCTGGAGGTCTAGTATTTGACATGGGCTTGCGCTGGCTTTGAAGGTGTGAAGGTGGGGCGGACTATGCAGCTCCATTTAACATCGAGCGCTGACTCTGTGGACCCTGGCCGACGCTGAATTCATTTCGATCTTTTGCTCTCGGCTCCTGAAAAGTAGGACGCTACTAGGGGCTCCTGGCCGTACTACTAGGAGCAAGAAGCTACTAAGGAGACACCAAGGAATCCTAAAGTACTTTGTCTTTTGCGCATTGTGTGCTGTATACCTAGAAGCACCTGGGGCAGAAATTTCTGCCTCAGTCCGATTTGCCCGGGAGGATTCGCGGATTTAGGGGAAATCCGCGCCAGGTAGGAATTTCCGCGGGCAGCAGGGAATTTTTGCCTCAAGCAAAATCCAACATAGCAACTCAAAAACCATTACAACCTACCAGGTTGTCTCTTCCATTATTGCAGACCACATATCGTTCTGCATAGTTTCACATCTCAAGATCTGACACCCTACGATTTTGACACTTCTAAATTCATGACATTCACAAAGAGGCTGCGACATATGTTCAAGCCCTTCAAAGGCATCAAAGGCACTGTTCTTGAATCCCGCCTTCTACCAGGAAATTTCCGCCGGCTTCCCGGGTATTTCCGCCGTTTTCCCGGGTATTTCCGCCTCTTTCCCGGGTATTTCTGCCTTTTTCCCGGGCATTTTCGCGCCAGGTGTTTTCAACTTTGGACTGACTTTAGTCCTTTTGTGATCATTCCGCACAAGAAACCTTCAAAAACAAAGACACAAAATATATGATATGATGGTAGCCAGATTTGCAGGTGGAGGTGGAAACTTAAGCGCTGCAAATTGGTTTTTCTCATTGCGGTGACCGTTCCAGGCAGAAATGCCCAATGTAAACCACAAAAATATTCAACTCCTGTAGAATATGTTGTCTTTGTCTGACTGGATTCCTGAAAAGGAATATTCGCGGCAACAAAAATATTTCCGCGGCAAACAGCTGATTTCCGCCCCAGGACGGGAAGAGCCGCTCTTCCCGAAAAAGGCAAGAATTTCTGCCCAAAGGATCTTCTAGGTATTGTGCTTGTCCAGCAATATCAAAAGGGAGTCACTTCAACAATCAAAAAAGTAAAACCAAAGATCTGTAATAAATTTTCATGTTTTTTCTCAGGTGCGAATCGCACCGGACTTTTTACGAAAAGCGTGCTGTCGTGTCCTTGGCGGTGACTGTGCCAGTGAGGTTCGAGACGCCTTAGCAATGGATGTCAAATGTCAAACTGAAGCTTGGCGCATTCCGTCATGCTCACTTCCTCCGGCTGATCAAAGTAAGACCGCTCCATGTTGCCTTGTTTCCACTCCGCATGCTTCGGATCTTCACTCACTTGGCACCAGCATGCGGATGATTCCACGGGCTGGATCCGAAGCTTCCAGCCCGCACAAAGTCCAAGCCATGAAGTCATCCTGCACGGCTGAGATTGCCAAAGCAGCACTCGGCTGCCACCAAAGTGTGATGGTTTGGAAGTTGAGATGCACCCATTGCCCCAAACTGTTGCAATCTTCATCTGGGGACAAATCCAAGTTTCCAAGTATATATGTTCAATTTATGGCATGTTCAAAGAACAGTAGTAGGCTCGAAGCAAACATATTCTGCAATTCTTGCGGCTGTCCGTCGGATGACATGTCAACACCGCCAGGAAGAGGTTGCGTGCCTCAAGAGATCGCCAAGGCAAACAAGGGCAACAACACGGCACTTATATAACCTGTTGATTCATGCAAAGTAATCGTTGCATCTATCGTCCTCATTGGCTGCCAAATCTTGTATGCTACCCCTGGACCAACAGGCTTCGGCCCTGAGTGTGCGTTCATGCCAAGCCACGCAGTCTCTCCTCAAAGTCTTCATCCTCACAGACTCACAGTGACGACCAGGTCCCAGCTTTTGGGTTGCCCATGATATCCCACCCATGATGGTCTGACTGTGTTGAACTCCACAGAACTTGGCTCTTTGGACGGCGAATAAAACGCACACACACACAAAAAAAAAACAATCCACTGTGAATCACGACGTGTTCACTGTGCTTGTCGTTTGCATCCTCTTCACTCCGGTGGCCCACTGCCGCGAGAGCCGCAAGAAGCTTCAGCCATTGCAACCGCTGCGCCTGTTCGCGACAAAGGAACACTGTGAACTTCGTGAACCGCTTGGGACTATCGGAGAATGCTCATCCACTTAGGAGAGGTAATCATGGGCAACCCACCAGCCACCCCCACCTTGGACATATTCCCCACGCGCTGCAGCAGCCACTGGGTCATCTGGCAAACTACGGGCTTCATCATGAATCTTACAATGATGCAGATCTGCAATCATCGAATGAACAGAACTTGTGAGAACAAGAACGCTACTAGGGGCTCCTGGCCTTACTACTAGGAGCAAGGACGCTACTAGAGGCTCCTGGCCTTACTGCTAGGAACAAGGACTCTAATTACTAGGTAGGGAGAGAGGCTTCTATTGATTCGGGTCCCTTACATCTGTGTAGAGAGCGTAGACTTCGCAACAAAACGCCAAATGCATTCAACTCCAGCACTGATCTGGCAATGAAGCTTTCAGCCAAAGGACATCGCGGAAGACGTCAGGATCTATGGCATTGAGATCCTAAGCAGCTCACTGTTAAAGGGTCGGGATTTGAGGTCAAATGCATTTGAGGGTAGTCCTCCGAAAAGAGTAGAAAGCAACACTCTCCTTCATATGGGCCACACCCGTTCAGCTTCAAATACCTTCAAAACCACACCCGCAGTTTCCACCCCGAACATCTCAATGAAATCGTGTAATTATAGCATCCAGTATGTTGCAAACATCAGGTACGAGTACATTGATGTGGTGGAAGGAAACAACTGCTAGCATCTGCTAGCAAAGTATTTGCAATCATACTGCTTCTCTTGCTGACAGGAAGCCACCAAATGCTGCGCGACAGCTGTGACTTGATGAATGTCAAATTGGCCCCAGCGAATGCGGCACCTCAGCTCGCTCTCTCTCTCTCTCTGTGTTAAGTCTGTTACATAGATGGCCTTCAGAAAGGGTAAGCCGTGCTAAGGCTAGACAAGTCATTGCATGTGACAAGTGGGGAGGAAATTGTATAGCTGGTGGGGCAACATGGCCTGATGTGCACGAAGACCGCTTCGAAAAGCTCTCCATCAAAGAACTTCAATCGTGCCTTGGAGAATCACCACGGAGTGGCTTTGGAGCGGGCGCGGGCCGAATTCTGTGTGTCACATTCACCGTCCTCAAGAAGGACTACGTCAACACTCCTTATCACTCCTTCATGCATGATACACTTTTTCATTGTGATCCAACAAAATCCAAGGTGAGCTGTCCACTTCCTTGGAGGGAAGTAGAAGTCAATCTCTACTGTTTCCACTTAACAAATTTTCCTGCCAGGACGCAGCAGTCTCACACAAAGCCGTGAGCTCCTCACAACAAACAAAGGACTCCCATCTGTTGGCTCTGTTGGCTCTGTACATCTGTGTTCTTCACCATACCCCTTGCTGTAAAGGTCTGGGACTTCCAAATAGTTCCCATGGCTGTGGATCGGTTTCATGGTTACAAATCTCTTCAGCCATGCCCGGATCCTCCGCAGACATTTTCATCGAAGCTTCTTGGATGGCAGGACTAAGTCGAAGAAACTCCTTGGCCAAGTTGGGAAAGCTCAGGACAGAAGTGGAGAATGAGACATCTTTGCACGTGTCAAGCGTCAAGTCAGAAGGCTCGGCTGGATCGACAAAATGCATGAGAGCAAATGAATGCCAGTGAATGTGGGGGTTCCCACCATAATACACAACTGAATTATACTGAATTAGCCCGATAGTCAATAGTCCATATTAGGTACCCATAAATAATTTAGAGTCCAATAGTCAATGTCACTCCAAGGTTCTGAAAAGGTTTGGATGTCCCGCATGCTGGCAGGCCTCACAGGGTCACGAAGCTCACGCAGGTGAACCTCTTGCAGTGAAGCGAGTGACGTCGTGAGTGAAATCATTATATAGTAACAAGGGCATTACTACTAGTAATTATAGTAGCTCCATGCACACAGCCATGCAGTAAACCGTAACCAAAGTAAGTTATAGTAAGTTTGGCCCAACAGAGCTCAGTCACAGTCTTGCGTCACCTCCATCTTTCGAAATACCGTGGGAAATCAACGGGTAGCAAGACAAAACAAGAATTAGTTGAATTGAACAGTTCTGTTTGGAATGCATGTTTTAAATCCTGCCACGCCACAGTTTTGAAGGTGCAGCAAGGAGATCTTCTGAGTTCAGTGGCCTTAGCTTTTCGCTTCAGTGTTCTGATTTCCTTCGCCTCGCGTCAACTCCAAGACGAACACTGAGACGAGTCTCAGGAGATGGAGTTGAACCAACCGTGCTGTAGATTATGGTATATGGCAAACTTGAACTAACATTTGTAGGTGCCCAGGACAAGGTACTTGAATGGCCTGAGCTCAAACAAGCTATGGGCTATATGGGAATATGGTCCCAACTTGAAGGTAACTTAATTTAGACCCTGAAGTCATTCGTGCGCCTCTTGCTCTTCAAGCCAATACCCACGGCGAGATACCTTTCCTCGCTGCCTTTGGAGCGGCCAAGGCCCAGGGCAGCACGGAGAGCGACCACCTCAAGGGATTAGCAGTTAACAGTTGAGTCCTTGCATTGACCAATGATCCAAGGCAAAGTACAGAAGTAGATATGGGCACAACATGGCACAACCAAGACATGCCAAGAGCTTGGGCAAAGCCCTAGGCTCAGCACCTTCACTGATCCATCGCAACTCTGTTCCACGAGTCCAGTGAAATAGAGGTCAGCTGAATTGGATGCTCGCTGTATGGCCATCTGGGAAACGAATCGGCCAAGTCTGGGCGCAGCTGTATAGCACTCACACCTTGCAGGCCTGCACTTTCAAAGGTTGGAGCGCTGTGCATGCTGTGCAGCGAGAGACATGGCCGACTGCCCTGTGAAGTCCATCCAGTCTTAATTCCAACACAAAGGTTTTGGAATGCCACACTGCTACAGGATCACATTGCGGCATCTGTGCAAGCAAAAACAAGCATGCAGTGGGTCTTCTTGCGGTCTTGCAAGTCGGGGGCTTGTCAAATTGGGGTTGCCACCCCTCCTGATGGTTTCTCAACATCGAGCAACACTGTCAACACACATGAAGTAGCAAGAAGGACCACAACTATCCCCGCAATGTTTGGCAAGCAAGCTTGAGCCCATCAATCCGATGAGAACTCCTAAAGCAAGCTCGCCTAAAAGGAGGCCTCTCTTGGGCCGAAAACGGAGCTTGCCACTCAGCAGGCCACTTTCATGGACTTCCTTAGGTCATCGTGATGACCCAACAACTTGGGCAAGCTCGGGCCTGACTTCACCATGTGGGCCACGACCAACAAAATCTCAGTTGCACGTGAGACTCCACCGGCCTCTCTAATGCCTTGGCTCACCTCAGTTGCCCTCTGGCGGAATTGTGGTTCATCGAAGACCCGCCTCAAGGCCTCAGTCACGTCCTTGCGGTACTGCACCATGGCTGCTTCTTCTTCACCATCAGCGGGCACAGGTCGATCAACCTGCAATGCCACACCCATGGCTTGAGCCTTCTGAGCATTAGCAGGCTGATCCGCGACTCCAGGGCAACCCACCATTGGAACTCCCAACGACAAGGATTCCATGAAGCTGTTCTGCCCAAAATGGGTCAAGAATAGGTCCACGCCAGTTCGCAACAAATCGACCTGGGGCACTTCAGGCACGCAAAGTGCATTGCAAGGCACCTGGAGATTCTCCAAGGCATCTGGCTGAGGGCCCGTGGCTAGCACGATCAAAGG